GATTCTAGCACCACAATGAGGCCGCACAAAGCTGAAACTAAACTATGAATTTATCACTTATGGCAGCATGTACACAAACAGGACAAAACAAGGCTCAACTCAACATATAATCAACTCATGAATTGAACAAAAACTAGCATGCTCTACACCTCTCATTAAACTGAAACTAAAGGTAATGAACTCGGCCACAAAATCACAAAATGAGCTCAGCTATACTACATAAAAATAAAGGCTAAAAGACATGAAACATGATGCTAAATCCTTCTTAAAACTTAACAAAATTTCACCATGCTCACAGCCCCTGAAACTTGAGTCCTAAATATCTGCAAACTAAGCACATAAATGGCACATAATGCACACAAAGGACTCAGCCAAAAAGATTCGCACAAACACTGAAACACACCATATTTCACATGATTCAACAACTAAACATCATGCATCTAACTCCAATAAGACTGAACTAAAACACCTAATATCACATAAATTCGGCCAAGAGCAAAGGGGTAAAGGTCAGTCAATACTACCTTTCCCGATATTTAAGAAAAAGAACAGGGACGGCTGGGTCTCGGGCTCTCGACTTTGATGGAAAAGACTCGGGTTTTTGGCTGCACTTTGGTCGGGTATTTGCTTGAATAAACTCGGCTTCCTGGTTTGAATAATTAGGCTCAGGGCTGGTTGGAGCTAGGTTCGGACGACTCACGATTCTCGGCTATGGCTGAGCTCACGAAGATGGCAGGGTTTGTTGCGGCTGGTTTTCAGGTGGCACAAGGGCCTTGGATGCCGTTCTCGGTCTCTCTGCTGGTGGTGGTTATCGGATCGCACGCGGAGATGATCGCCGGAAAATCGGAACTTGGGTCGTCGGGCCGGGTTTGCCGCTCTCGCCGGACCTTGCTGCTTGGACTGCTGAAAATGGCTCGCCGAGAATGGGGTGTGGCTCGGTTGGGTTCGCCGTCACGCCTGGAGGTTGGAGCTCGGAGGTCGAATCGCGGTTCGTCGTCGGAGGTCTGGTCGCCGGGAAATAAAATGGAGCTGCGATCGATTTAACAGAGAAGAGAAAGATTGGGCGCGATCGAGAAGAATGAGGAAGGCGGATGATTTAGGGCTGATAATGGTCACTTGGAAAATGCTGGGCTGAAAATTTCAGCATAAGAAGCCGTTTTTTCAGGGCTCTTTAGGGACGGTTTAAACAAATAAAAGGGCCGAAAAATCATATTCGTTTGGGTCGAAATAATAACATGATAGGGTCGAGAAGAAAAAAAAGAACTAAATTGGGCCGAATTAATTAGTAATAATAGACTGGGAATTAAAATGAGAAATTTACCCTCCTTACTCATCTTTTATTAAATAATATTAATATTACGAAATCTGAAACTTATTTTTATAAGTACGAATGTTATTAATTAAAGGAAATATATGGCAGTTTCTCAGCAAGAAATACAACTATCCAATAGACAATTAATGGGAGTTAATTTTGTGCATGATTCTCGGTAATGATAATCATCCCCATCCTTCCATATGCAATCATAAAACATGAAAAATAATTTGCTTTTCTCTCTCCTAAGCTCTCGTGTATCTTCACCATAAGACAAAAAAAAAGTTTTTTCCCTCACCAACCGATGACGACGATTTCGTCTCCGAACATAATATCAAACACAAAGAGAAAAAAGCCATAGACGACCCCAACAAGAAAAGGGTTCGAAGAAACAAGGTCGAAGAAAAAATTATTGAAGAGGAGGAGAGCCCGATTCGGATTTCAATGTTGACGAGGAGGAAGAGTCTCATTCGAGTGAAATGGGTTTGGATGCACCAAAGGACGATAGTGACACGGTCACTGATATTCCAAAGTTTGACCCAAAAAATCGTAAGCGTCGACGGAATTTTTTTTCAGTGATTGCGGAATATTTGTCGCCTCATTTGTCGAATACTTCATCACTAAGTTTGACCTCCCGACGGACTACGATCCGACACGGAAAGGATGAGGTACTCATACGTGCTATACCAACATGGTGTTAAAAAGCATGAAAATTCTTGTGAGAGCGACGATGATTCCCCTGGGATGCTTGATGATATACAACGTGCAAAACTCACATCATTTAGTTAGTATATGCCTACCTTTTGAAGAAGTATTGTTTGTCTTTTTGTGTATGGAGGATTGAACCATGTTGGTACTATTGGCATGATGTTTTGTTGCATTTTTTGCATTTTTTTTTTCCTTTTCTCTGGTGAATTTCAGTGAAGGAATATTAGTTCTATTGCTTTTGGATATTTGATTTGCACGAGGTTAACCTATCAAAATGCACTTTTCGGACCATTTTTTTTCATCCGGTATTGTAATTTTATCTTAAGTTCTTAAGATACTTTCACACACATACTTTAAGTAATGTGTTTATTTAAAGTATATTATACCGGGTTATAAACACAAAATAGAGACATACGCACACATACGTGTTTAACTAATGTATATTACACCGTGTAGTAATCATTCGGGTAGATAAACACACATACCGTGTATTGTACATATATATATGTACATAAGATAGACAACAAATAAACATATTTTTTATTCTGCAACATTATACTAAAAGTAAGCAATAAGTAAACAACCATTAAGGAAAGATTATAAACTTCAACAATATACATAAACGGTATATAAACGGTACATAAACAAAATAGCCTAACATCCACAGGTAAATTTGGGCATCACGCTCAGAAGAAGCTAAGTTTATATACATAAATGGTATATAAACGGTACATAAACAGAATAGTCAGACACCACAGGTAAATTTAGGCATCACGCTCAGAAGAAGCTAAGTTTATATACATAAACGGTATATAAACGGTACATAAACAGAATAGCCGAACATCCACCGGCCCAGGTCACGCGACCACCGGCCTCCGCCAGCCTCCATTAGCCCAAGCCCAGGAATGCAACCGCTCGCCTATGAGTTTTTTGAGTAGTGTCGCCTTAATCAACCATGCTCTCTCTCTTCCTTTTTCCTTCCTCCTTATTCTTCTTTACTTTTTGCAGACCAAGAACATCGAAAATCCCCAAATACATCGAAACAACCCCAGCAAAATCCTTCGTCTACACCATCAATTCCATCTCCTTCCCCCCAGTCGCCCCCCACGACTTCGCCGCCGCGCATTCTACCACAGTCTCCATCTTCTCCGGCCAGACCCTTGACCACAGATCCACGATCTCCGACTTTTCCGACACCGTTGCATCTGCCTCCTTCCGTGGCGACAGAAAGCTTCTCGCCGCCGGAGACCTGACAGGCATCGTCGACGTGTTCGCGGCCCTCGATTTGGAGCCGTCAATTTCAGAATCATCCCGTGTCATTTCCAGAAGACATTGGCATTATTCTTCGAACGAGTGAGGTGGCATTTATTACTTGTTTTACAACCACACACAAGGACAACTTCGTATAGTCACACTCCTTCAACTTCAATGAAATATATAAATGCAAGCTACTATCGTCATCCACACTCATAGGTGGATATCCATCATTCACTTGATACTTTATATCAAGATCATTTCAATACGCTTTTATTTTCAGTTTATCGAAAACAATATCTCGGAGCTGATTGTAGTCACATAATTTACTTATCAAGATACCTCCGACTTGATAGTTCACGTATTCATTGTTGATCCACACCTCATTGTGATGTAAAAAAACATTCACATCAGTCATGTTTCTGTAAAATAGACAGAATTACTAAGTAAATATTCCAGATTACAGGAATGTCATTGTGTTTACTTACTGTATATATTACATTTAGATATACAAAAAGATGAGATTTAAAAAACTAATCAAGACGCACGAAATCAATGTTGATTCTGGTTCAAAAACACAATGAAGTCGAAAAAAAAATTAAAAACAGTCATTAATGTTCATAAACACAAATAATATACCTTCAAGTCGTAAAGAGTTTACAACTCGATGCAACACAATGAAATCAAAAGTAAACAAAAAAANTATAAAATGAAAGGGGCGCTACACAACGTGTTGACTTATAAAGTGAAATAATGTAATTTTGGTACGTTAGTGTGCTTGTGTTTTGTGTGAATAAATGATGTGATTGGTGTTAAATTATTATGTTTATCTATTTTAAAATTTGTGTTGTGTGACATTTTTGGCAGGAGTGCCGATGACGTTAATCGTTGAGCGTTTTATAAAGTGCAACCGGTTGTTGTATAAAGTGCAACGCGTTGTTTTATAAAGTGCATCGTGATAATATATAAAGTGCACTACTTTATACAATCAAATATAAGTTATGTGTTTTTAAAAAGTGATTTAGTCGATATAATTGTACATCAAGTTGACCTAAATAATCGAAATTATTAATTATTTATTATTGTAAAAGTATATTTATTATTTTAATATTTTTTATATATTAAAATTTACATACTAGAATTTTAAAAAATTATTTATATTATAAATTGACCTAAATATTTTTATGTTTAACAATATGGATTTTAATTAACATTAATGTGCATTTATCAATTTATATAATAAACATATATTTAACATTATAACTTTTTATTTAATATGTATATTATTTTCAATTAAAATAAATAAATAATATATATATATATAGACAAAACAAAAAATAATATTTTTTATACATTTCGGTCGACTCCGTTATTTTTGTTTTTGTTTTATTTTTTTTTTGTTTTATTTTTTTTTTGTTTTCATAACTAAAGATGAAATCAGACCGAAATAACCAATAGTTTAATATTTGTAAAAATGCATGGTTTATGAAGTGCATTCTCGAAAGACTTAACGTGCATTGACCTAACAATATCGTGCATATTGTTTAACACGATTGTGAGCTATACACAGAATTAGTTTTTTCATGTGTAAATCCAATATTACCGAATTTATCTAAATAATAAAAATAATTTTATATTATAAATAGTTCTTTATTTTTTCAATATTTTTATTTACTATTTTATATTATTTTTATATCAATTTACTATTTTATATTATTTTTATTTACTATTTTTATTAGTTAGTATATATGTAATATGTTTTTATAAACTTTTATAAATTACATATTTGGCCTTAGGGTTAAATTGAAATATAATTAAAATTATTAAAACTACAACTAGGTCCCTCTTAATAGTCTAATTCTCGAAATGCAACCCCACATTGAATCCCGTCATTTCAGCTGCTCAGCCGTTGTGGCGGCGCTGTGTGGACAACGACGATAGAGCAGCGAACGGTTGTTGCTGCTCGTGTGTTTGTGTGGAGGGAGCCTTGAACGGCTGTGCGTGCGAGCTCTGGCCACCGGCGGCGTTGATGAGCAGCGTTTATCCCATTTTTGTTGCGTTTTTCTTTGTTATTTTTTTCTTTCTTTTTCCTCCATATTAAGTCTTTTAGTTAGTTTTTATCTCGTTTTGTAGTTTATCGCGTGTTTTCCTCTATCTTGGTTTTTCTTGTGTTTTCTGTATGTTTTTCCGGTTTTTCTTCGTTTATGGTGTGCAGGTCGAAAGCTTCGGATGAATTTATTTTCCATGATAAGTGGGCCGGGTAAACATCATTAAATAGAGCGTTTCGTTGGCAATACACAGAAAAAAACAGAATCAAATTCCGAGTCCAAACGAGCTCGAACGGACACGAGACGCGAAGTGATGCATTCAGGCCCGAGCCCCCAGGTCCCGCACGCCACGCCGCGGCACTGCCCCAGACCCCGCGCCACGCCCATGCCGCGACCCCAACAGACAGCGGATGACTTCCCAGCGCCACGCCGCGGCACTCTAGCACGACGCGGAGCTCACCTCACGGCGCGGCAGACCACCTCAGCACGGCGTGGCACCTCTTCACGGCGCGGCAAGCCACCTTCTCACGCCGTGATACTCCAGCACGGCGCGGCACAACACTTCCTCACTCGTGACACGGCGCGACCCCTTCCGCCAATATATATATCTTCGCACGGGACTTCAGATTTTTTATCACCTCTCGACTGGGTGAAAACCCTAGGTCCGAGAAAAACACCACGCTCCCTTCTCCTTTCTTTCTCTCCTTCCTCTCCATCTTTCTTTTTCATTTTTCTCTCCAAAAACTCCATTGTTTCACCGTGATTTTTCGATTGCTTTTGGACGAAGCTTGTAATACAGATTCAACATTCGATTTTTATATCAATCGTAAGTCTTTCTTTTCATTTAATCTATGAAAATAATTGCTTGGGCTGAGATGATTGATCGTGTTGAATTGAATTTACGTAGCTAATTCTTTCTGCTAGGGATAGGGGATGATTGTTCTCGTTTAACGTGTATTTGTCGGGCTTTATTCGTTTGTTCTTGTGCGAGTTAATTTGATTAGGAATCGATGAAATCTTGTTTGATTGATTGATATAATCGAAGAGTGACACTTCGATCTTGCAATTGGAAACGGTTGAATGATGATTAGTTGAGTTGGGGTTTCATTGATTCTAAATGGTTAGTTGATTAATTCTCTTCTAATTGAATTAGCGACTTTTAGAACCGAAAGGGGAGAAGTCGTAGACCTAGGCTCGCATGAGATAAATGATTTCGTAACTGAATAATTTATGGGTTTTGGATTGAAATACATGCTTGTCGGTGTCTTGTCCCTTGTTACGAAAAGTTATTGGGATTGGATAATTGGCCGGTATTGTATGCTCGAACTTGCTCGTCTATGTTCAATCCCTTGTTACGAAGAGTTATTGGGTGCGAACCGCTAGACGTGTAGGCGAGAGTGTCAGTTCCAAACCGAACGATCAATTTCCTGGCTTTACGTTGCGAACTTGAATAAATTATCCCCGATTCCCTAGTTTCTTTATTATTATCTAGTTGGTATTTTAGGGTTTTTTGCTTTTATGCTATTTCTTAGTTGATAGTTAATTCCTCCCCAATCTGATTAGAGTGTTTAGGATTTATTTTCTTTTTCTGTGTTATCGATACCAAAGCTAAATTCCGAACCGCCTTCCTCGAGAGATCGACCCGGGAAAACGAATCCTTGATTCGGTACTCGGTAAAATTATATTTTGCTACAACAAAATTGACGCCGTTGCTGAGGAGGGCAAGTAGGATATTTGGTTTTGGTATTGATTTTATTTTCCGTGAATGTCTTTGTTTTTGGGATTTTTGTTCTTTCTTTTGTGCATCTTTGTTTTTCTTTTAGTCTTGTTTGTTTTTGTCTTCTTTTTCTTTCCTCTTCGTGGATACGTGTGGTTGTTCTGTTTTGGTGTGCAGGAAGTATGAACTTTAACCATGTGCTTCCCTTACCGCACACCCAGTCTTGGGGTCACTAGCCGAGCTATCACGACGGGAGTACTACCAATCATATCCGTACTCTTTCGAGCAGTGCTGGGATCCCTACACAGTCGAGCAAACTTATGAGTCCCACGAGCATAATGAGAAGCTCGACCGGATTCTCGATTTTATAACATCTCAGTCAGCTCGAGAAGAAGAGGCCGCATTCAACGAAAAACTTGATCTAATCCTGGCTCGAGTAATGGCCTAAGCAAGTCGAAGAGAGGAGGTTGAACTCAAATGTGACCGGTTGAGCGAGCAGTTGGAGAGTCTAGCAAGGCGCATCGACTTTATAGAGTCCATGGTTGTAGACCCACGTCCACAGCCCGTACCTTTCGATGAGCTCGAGGACGACTCTTCGGGATTCAACGCAAACTTGATCTCATCCTCGATTGCATGATGGCCCAAGCAAACCGGGAAGGGGAGATTGAGCTCGGGTGTGCTCGATTGAACGCTCAAATGAAAAATCTAACAGCACGTCTCAACTCTATCGCGTCAAAAGTCGACAACTCCCATCTTATGGTTGGTGCCCAAACGTTTTTTCCGATGCACATGTGTGAGACCGAAGAGGAAGATGATGCTCTCCAGTGGGACGACGATGTTTCGGAGGAGGAGATTCATGGACTTGATCATGTCACCATTTCTAGAGTCCCTCCTCCTGCTACCGAGATGGAGCATTCACCTTCGGAGCCATCACACTGTGCTACCAAGTGGGCCAGATTTAGCTCGACTTGTGCCACGGATGTGCTCGTTATCCCTGAGGTTGATGACAGAGCTCGGATGGAAAAAGCTCTATGTCAACTACTGGGGATTGCTCGAGCCCATGTCAGGTTCCTCCAGAACACAGCCACCCGGATCCACCATACCCGCCTTCTTGCCAAACTGCCTGGGCTACCACTTCTCGAAAATACGAAGGCGTGGCATGATCGCCATTTCTTTCTGGACCCTGGTTGAGTCGTACTCAGGTTTCGTCAAGCTAATGACATTAAACAAGCGCTTCTTGGGAGGCAACCCAAGTGATTTATCGCTTTCTTAGATATTTTTCTTTTTGCTCTTTTATTTTATCTTTGAATAATGGGAGTTTTGGAGTTCTGTGTTTTTCTTGGCAGGTACGTGTTCGTGAGCTCGAGCAGGAGGATTGCGTTGAATGAGGAATTCCGAGGTTTTGGGTTGAGCATAGGCGAGCGGCTTGCACGTGAATGCTTATTTCCCGCGATGCTACTTCGGTTTGCACACCCTTTTCTTTTTCTTTTTTTATCTTTTTGAGTTGTTTCTTTCCCCTGTCTTTTCTTTCGAGTCTTATGTTCTTGTGGTAGTTGCTAGTATTGGTTCGCTATATGAAAGTGCTAGGTCCTTTATGTGACTTCATGTTTCGTGTTGAAGCAATGAGAAGATTGCCTCATTTTAAGTGTGGGGGAGTTTATTTGGATTTTTACATGCTTATATGGTGGGCCGGACTAGTTTTAGGATTTTATGTTGTTGAGTATGGTATTGGTGGATTATATGATTTGTTGATGAATGTTTGATGAAATTGGGAAGTTGTGATGATGGACGTGTGGTCATTGCCTCGATATATGCTTGATTGTTTTGAGTGACATATATTTACCTTGTGAGGTTTTGATCCTTACTCTTCTTTCTTGTGGGATATTGGTCATATTCATAAATGGTTAGAACTTGCCTTGAGTTTGTTTAAAAGGAATTGATTCGAGTTTGAAATTGCGAATATGATTGAGGCGTTCTGTTTGATAGCTCATTTTTGCCTTATTCTTGATCCAAAAAAAAGAATTTTCACTAGTAGCCCGTTTGAGCTTTGAGCCTTTTTCTTGTCAGCCTTACATTAAATGTATTTTGTTGACTGATTTGGTGATAATTGGTGAAAATGGTGTCGTTGTTGAATGAGGTGAATTGGAGTTGGATTTCTATTGCTTGACCATTCAAAAAAAAAAAAAAAAAACATGAGAGCTCACAGGACGAATCAAATGGATTCTGCTCCTCTTACTAGTCGATTTTTGTTGACCGATAATGAGCATTGGGAAACTACTATAGGACACTTGGATGACCTCCAAGGTTCACATCTACAGAATTTTGTCCTTTTGATTCGATCTTGTTCGGAAAAAGTAACTCTCTAATAAAAAAAACAAAAAAAAAAGGGTCAAGTGACAAAGTACAACTTTATTTGAGCAATTAGATGTTGTTTGTGGAGTTGTTGGGGGGACGGTATGTGTACTAGCTTGTTAGTTTGGATAAGTAGCGGACATTCGAGTAGCCTATTACTCAAAAAACTTTGATTGATTATTTGAGCTTCGTATCCATATATATATATATATATATATCCTACCTTTACCTTAGCCCACATTACAACCCGTGAAGCCCTCTTGATTCGCAAAATTTTGAGCTTTGATTGTTTCCTAGTAATTTAGACGATTGGCAATCATGTGTTGAAACTTGAATATTGACCAATCTGAGCGATCTTATTATACATTCATGTAAAAGAATGAGTGAGGCATGTCTTGATATTTCTGTGTTTGAGAGTTTGTCATTTCGAGGCCAAGTTTATATTTGGGGCATATGGTTTCACAGTCGTTGGAATTCGACCTGGTTGACTTGGACATTTTGAAACTCTTCTTATTTGAAACTGTATTCATGCTTATGTCTTGTTTTCTTTTCTTTTTGTTCGGGAGGAACAAAGGTTTAAGTGTGGGGGACTTGTTTGTCCCATTTTTATTGTGTTTTTCTTTGTTATTTTTTCCTTTCTTTCTCCCCCCATATTAGGTCTTTTATTTAGTTTTTATATCGTTTGTAGTTTATCGCGTGTTTTCCTCTATCTTGGTTTTTCTTGTGTTTTCCGTATGTTTTTCCGATTTTTCTTCGTTTATGGTGTGCAGGTCGAAAGCTTCGAATGAATATATTTTCCATGATAAGTGGGCCGGGTGAACATCATTAAATAGAGCGATTCGTTGGCAATACAAAAAAAAAAACGGAATCAAATTCCGAGTCCAAACGAGCTCGAACGGACACGAGACCCAAAGTGATGCATTCAGGCCCGAGCCCCCAGGTCCAGCGCGCCACGCCGCGACGCCCAACACGCCGCGGCACTGCACCAGACCCCACGCCGCGATACCTGTTCCTCTCACGGCGCGGCAGACCACCTCAGCACGGCGTGGCACCTCTTCACGGCATGGCAAGCCACTTTCTCACGGCGCGATATTCCAGCACGGCGCAGCACAACACTTCCTCACTCGTGACACGGCGCGACCCCTTCCGCCAATATATATATATATCTTCGCACGGGACTTCAGATTTTTTATCACCTCTCGACCGGGTGAAACCCTAGGTCCGAGAAAAACACAACACTCCCTTCTCCTTTCTTTCTCTCTATCCTCTCCATCTTTCTTTTTCATTTTTCTCTCCAAAAACTCCATTGTTTCACCGTGATTTTTCGATTGCTTTTGGACAAAGCTTGTAATACAGATTCAACGTTCGATTTTTATATCAATCGTAAGTCTTTCTTTTCATTTAACCTATGAAAATAATTGCTTGGGCTGAGATGATTGATCGTGTTGAATTGTATTTATGTAGCTAATTTCTTCTGCTAGGGATAGGGGCTGATTGTTCTCATTTAACGTGTATTTGTCGGGCTTGATTCGTTTGTTCTTGTGCGAGTTAATTTGATCAGGAATCGATGAATTTGTTTGATTGATTGATATAAGTGAAGAGTGACACTTCGATTTTGCAATTGGAAATGGTTGAATGATGATTAGTCGAGTTAGGGTTTTGTTGATTCTAAAAGGTTAGTTGATTAATTCTCTTCTAATTGAATTGGCAACTTTTAGAACCGAAATGGTTAGTCGTAGACCTAGGCTCGCATGAGATAGATGATTCTGTAACTAAATAATCTATGGGTTTTGGATTGAATACATGCTTTTCGGTGTCTTATCCCTTGTTACGAAAAGTTATTGGGATTGGATAATTGGTTGGTATTGTATGCTCGAACTTGCTCGTCTATGTTCAATCCCTTGTTACGAAGAGTTATTGGGAGCGAACCGCTAGACGTGTAGGCGAGAGTGTCAGTTCCGGACCGAACAATCAATTTCCTGGCTTTACGTTGCGAACTTGAATAAATTATCCCCGATTCCCTAGTTCCTTTATTATTATCTAGTTGGTATTTTAGGATTTTTTTGCTTTTATGCTATTTCTTAGTTGATAGTTAATTCCTCCCCAATCTGATTAGAGTTTTCTTTTTCTGTGTTATCGATACTAAAGCTAAATTCCGAACCGCCTTCCTCGAGAGATCGACCTGGGGAAACGAATCCTTGATTCGGTACTCGGTAAAAATATTTTTTGCTACAACAAGCAGCAAGCAGTGTTGTGTGGTCGTGCAACAATTTGGCCATCGTGGGCGGCACCGGCGAGAGTTTGTTGCTGGCAGAGAAGGGATGGTCGACGTTGACGGGAAGTTTGATAACCGATTTGGTCTTCGTGGGCGGCGCCAGTGGGGAGCTTGTCGTTATGAGGAGCGCCGGCGTCTGTGGCGTCCGACAACTGGGGCGGCGTTGGGCGTTGCGCCGGTGGGTGGTCGGAGGCGAGGGTGCTAACTGGCGGTGCAAGTAGATGTGTGTGTGTGAATGTGTGAGAGAGAAAGAGTTTGTTGGATGGTGAGATGTGAGTGGCCACGTGGCAGTAAATTAGTGAATGTGTGGTGGGGAGGGTTGACCAATTTATGGGCTAGTTGGCAGATGGCATGTACATCAACGTGTAGTGGGGCCCACCTTTTTTGGTGATGTGTAGAAAATTACCACATTACCCTTAATGAAGGTATAATTATGGCTTTTCTTCAGCCATTCATCCGATCTAATGGCTACAATTTACTCTCATTTCTTTCACTAAGACACCATTCTCATGTGAACCCAACCCATACTATATATATATATATATATATATATATATATATATATTTTGTTAATTTTATTTTTTTGAAACTTTGATTCCTACAAATATAAGAATGAGAAGACCTTGCATTAGCTATGGAATGCTAATCCCATAGAAATAAGTTTTACAATACCCATTGGAATGGTCATTCCTTTTCAGAAAGTATACCAATCATTAGATAAAGAATGAGTAAAACCAGTCAAAAGGAGATTGTTCTTCGACCATAGATGGCTGCAAAAATAAGGAGTAGCTGATTTTGTCACTAAGGCATGGACTTACCATCAAGCAGGTACCCAGTGTTTTGTTTTCAAGAAAAGATCCAAGGGGTAAGAGTGAGCCTGCTCAAATGGAGCTGTAAATTCAGATCAGATAATGTCGAAAAAAATTGAATCTCTCCATGGACAATGGACATAACTAAGATGGGAGGGAGGGCTAAGGGATTGGAATAAATGGGATTCAATCCAAAACGATCTCAATGAGACATACAAGATGGAAGAGCAGGATTGGCATAAAAAATCCATAATTTCTTGGCTCACACTTGGAGACAAGAACACTAGGTTCTTTCTTGCTCACACTACCAACAGAAGGAAAATCAACAGATTTACCAGGCTACTCAAAGATGACTCATCCATCTGCGAATCCACTTATGACATAGCACTGTGAATAGAAGAATTCTACACAGACCTCTTCACCTCTCAAGGTCATTCTCTGGATGACACAGTGCTTCAGGGAGTGAACAAGATGATCACTGAGAACATGAACACTGGCCTAACAGCTACTGTTGAAGAGGAAGAAATAAGAGATGCTCTCTTCTCTATCTCACCTCACAAAGCTCCTGGTCAAGATGGTATGACATCTATCTTTTTTTCAACATTTCTGGTCTCTCATTAAAGTTGATCTCTGTGCTTTAGCTTCTAGTTTTTTTCAATTTGATAAAATGCTTAAAAGTATAAACCACACACTTATTACTCTCATTCCTAAAGTGCAAAACCCTGATAAAATCTCCCAATTCAGGCCCTCAGCCTTTGTTCAGTCACTTAGAAGGTCATTTGTAAAATTCTCTCTACTAGGCTTAAACCATGTCTGGCCACTTGCATCAGTGACACTCAAGCTGCTTTCATCACAAATAGGCAAATCCTTGATAATGTTATCTTAGCTTATGAGGTTTTGCATTTCCTTAACAGACAACAATCATGTTATATGGCTATAAAATTAGACATGTCTAAAGCCTTTGAGAAAGTGAAATGGACTAGTGTCAGAAATATCATGATTAAGTTAGGGTTGCATGACTCTTTTGTGAAGTGGATTATGGCCTGTCTCAACTCAGACTCATTTTCTCTTAATTTGAATGGCTCTGTCTGTGGTTATGTGACTCCAACGAGAGGAATTCGACAAGGAAACCCACTATTTCTTACATTTTTATTTTGGTTTCTCAAATATTGTCTCATATCATTAACAACTTTTCCTCCTCAGAGCAGTTTAGATGCATAAAAATTTACAGGAATAGCCCAACACTCATCCACCTCATGTTTGCAGATGACACCCTTCTCTTCTCCAAAGCTGACATTGACTAAACCATTCTTATTCTCCAAATCCTCAACCAATACAATGCTATTACTGGCCAGTGTGTAAACCTTCAAAAATCCTTCATTTTTTTCAGTAAAAATACCCCTGAGCACACCGAAATCCAAATCTATCAAACCCTCATAGGAATTACACCTCAAACCTCATCAAGATACCTAGTACTACCCTTGGGTATTGACAAATCCAAACTTGAGACCTTCTCCTACATTGAGGATGCTATAAGAAAAAAGCTATCAAACTAGAAAACAACTTTTTGTCTTTTGCAGCTAAAGAAACACTCCTCAAAGTAGTTCTAGAGGCAGTCCCTCTTTTTGCAATATCTTTCTTCATCCTACCCAAAATGGTTTATATTGCCAAACTCTTTGCTGATTTTTGGTGGAAAACAAAAAATGAAGGCTCAGGAGGCATACACAGGAAATCATGGACCTTACTACCTAAAGAAAAGGGAGGCCTTGGATTCCATGACATACACCACATGAATAAGGCCTTGGTTTCAAAACAACTCTGGAGATTGAGTAATAGCCCAGACCTCCTGATAAGCAGAGTCATCAAGGCAAGATATTTCCCCAAGATAAATCTGATATCAGCATAGAAACTGCAAAATGGATCATTACTTTGGTGTGGCTGGAGGAAAACTTTGGACTTCTTCTCTCAAAATGTCATCTACACAGTGAAATTAGGAACTGAGGTCAAAATTTGGGAACACCCCTGCCTCCCTGAAATGCAAAATCTCAGGCATAAACCTTCTAACTCGTGGAGAAATACAATCACCTGGGTACATGAACTTATGGATGATACATGCAGAAATTAGAATGTGGATCTTCTCCAGAACTGTTTTCCCCCCGAGGAAATCTCAGCTATTCTCACCATCAAAGGGCTTGACCCTCAGAGCAAGGAGAAGCTCACTTGGATGCCTAGCAAATGAGGACTTCTTACAGTGGCTAAGGTGTATAGTACTCTGGTGGAAGACAAGTGGAAAAAGCTAGATATCCCAGAATGTAGTACATTGTGGCAAGGACTCAAGTTGCAATAAGAAAACTCTGGTCTCTAAAGGTTGCAGGAAAATTGAAACACTATGGTAACACAAAACACTCCGACCAACTAGAAATCGGCTCGCCTTTTTCCTCCTCGCGGGTAGAACGCCACGTACCTACAAAGAACTCTCACACCGGAGGGGTTTTTCGGTGAAGAGCCTCCGATGCTTAAGTCAGTGTTTGTTCTACTCAATTCTCAAGAGTAGAACACAGTGTGTGTGTGTCAGGATTTGATGAGCTGTCCACCTAAGGCTGCCCGGACCTGCCCGTCCGTACGCACACAGTGTATGTGTGTCAGAAGTGGTTATCGCCACTATCACCCTGCACCAATGTGTTCTCGCCACGTGTCCTCTGCACATGGGGTAATTATTCCTCTGAAAATTCCTTGGAAATTCCTTTGAAGGCTCACGCGCTCTTTCACGTTTAGATCACGCCCCTGATTGCTCTTCACTCGCGAGGTGGTTGATCCGATGATCTGTCGCTTGATAGATCGATCTTCGACCACACCTCCCACAGTATTAGATCACTACCTTTCAGTCTGCTATTGCTCGACCATCGTGGCTTTTCCGACATTTGAAAATGCTTCACAAAATCCTTCTTGTGAACCAGGCACTCTCAAAGAAGATTAAAGCTTTTGACACTTTTTGTAAATCATGTGGTGCTGGGGAGGAATTCCTTGAGCACCTCATGTTTCATTGCAGCAAATCAAGGACAATATGGAAACTTGCAACCATTTCTTGGGATGGCCTTGAAGAATACTCCTCCAGTTTCAAACAATGGTGGATAAAGCTCTGCTCACTGAAGGCTTGTGTTTCCATTGACCACATGACCCAACTGTCAGTATACTTGATCTGGTGGCCTTGAAAAGCCAGAAATTTATGAGTATTCCAAAATTTCTGGCTTTCTGAATACTCTATTGTTCAAGCTGTCACTTCTGCTTGGATTGAATTCTCTAGTTTGTAGTTGTTTGGTTTTTTTTTTTCTGTACTTTTTTGGTTTATCTTTTAATTTAGTTGGTTGTTTTTTTCTTGTGGGTTGTTGTAGTGGTAAACCTGCTAGATCCCTTGGTTTAGTGGCAGGGTTATCTTTTGTTTAGTACTTCTCTCTGTGAGTACAACTACTGTAGGTATCAGTTCTTGTCTTCATAGCCTTAGACTATGCCAAAGTTGATGATTTGTAGTAGTCCCTTTACTTTTCTTTGCTAGGTCACCTTGTTGGTGCTCCTCTTATTCTNCTGCAAATGGACAATATAATATTTGTATAATAACAGTGGGGTTCACTGATTTTGTTTTGTAGAGATTAATGGTAGATGGTTTTATTTCTGCGCAGTCGTCTGCAAGTCGTGCTCTTTTGTCTCCATAACTATTCAATATGTGCATGCCTTTCTTATTCTCTCCGTGACTGTGTGGTGGGCTTTCAAATATAGAATTTTTCTCAATTAGTGTAGTTATATTCAGAAAAATTAAAATTGAGTACGTGTTTTATAGTGAAACTATATCTTCAAAATTTTATTTTATTTTTCCCTTCACACATTGCCTTAAAAACTAATTCTGCGCTTGTTGACAAATGCATAACTGCTCAACTCCAGGGAGTATATATATGTTTTGATAGGACGAATCTTAAAAATATATATTGGACCAAAAATGAAATATATATACCACTACATAAATTGAAATAAATTCATAGCTCGTCCAAATTTTCACTAGATAGAATCAACTGAATGTACATGAAACAAAGAAAGTCAAACATGCAAAATAGAGTCCAAACAATAAAGAAAGAAACTGAATAAAAGATCCAAAGAGAAATTAACTAGAAATTCTGCTTGAGATAACTCGCAATTTCATGAAATATTAACAACAACAACAACAACAATAATAATAATAATAATAATAATAATAATAATAATAATATACCAGTCGAGACCAAGAAGATATATATATATATATAGCTAAAGTTATTACAATATCAATTAAACAAGAGAATCCAACAAGGTCACTGGCCCATACCAAACCCTAATCCATAATTAACATCACGTTTGGCACGTCTATATATTAAAAATGGACCATTAACGTGATGCTACCAACATAAATTGGGCACGCCGCACATATTATATATTACTAAATCAGCTACAAAAATAAAATGCACCTATCTAATATAAGATAAGTACATGCATGAATCGTGATCAACTTTACTTGAAAAGATTGTTGAAATCTTTGCTTGCGTCTGAAATCCCATTCCAATCCCACAATCTATCCTGAAAAGCCGCCTGCAAAGACCCAGGCACAGCATTCTGAGACTGAGGCTGCAAATTAGTGGCAAAATGCGAAAGGAAATTCGGGACGCCATTGTTTAGATACTGTGGATTTTCGAGTTGTTGTGAGTAATTATTATTAATGTTCACTAGCTTTTGGAGATCATCAATAGGGGTTTGTTTGGATTGGAGCAAAGCCATTGCTTGATCATTTTCTAGAATTGAAGTCATTATTGGAGGTGGGTTTATGGAGGGTATAGGGACTAATGGATTATTATTAGTGGTGTAATTAGAATTGTGGTTTTGGAGGGAAAAAGGGTTGTTGATGTGATGATCGTTGGTGCTACTGCTCGGGCTCGACTCAGCTATTATTCCATCGTCTTGTAGTGGAGATTTTCCGTGATTCGGTTGGAAACTTATTATGTTTTGGGGTTGATTAATGTTCGCGGGTTTTTGAAGGTTTTGTGATGGTAAGTATCTTTGTGAGGGTTTTGATGATGATGATGATGAAGCTCTGGTTGTGTGTAGGGAGCGGGGTAAGGAAGGGTGGTCTTCGACTCCGGCTCGTTTGTACACTCGACATAGAGAAATTTCCGCCTGCGGAAATTTAATCGAGAAAATATGAAAATTTAAAATCAATTAAATAGGACAAATTATTATATTGACATACCTTATGACATCCTAGCTATATTGCTAATATTACACTCTTGTTTTCCGTGTGTTTTTAAGGGGATCAATCTCGAATTATATTTGACAAAACTTTTGACATCCTATATATATACCATACATGTTATTCATATAATGAAATGAAAAATAAATTAGGAACATGAAAGTGGATCATGAGATATATTCCATTTTGAATATATTCGGAGAAGGAGAAACTCGGTACGTTCGAGGATGCAAAATGATAAGTTGAAAATATTTACATTTATTTATATTATCTATTAGAAATCGTTTATGAGGGCTTGCAGTGGATACTTTAATGAGCTTTTTAAATTTTGAAAAAGTTTCATGCGTTTCTCATGCTCTTGATGTGAGAGCATTTAATCAAGAACCTTTTAAGTCATAAAAATGAAAACTTTCAAATTTCATTTTGTTGGCCTATCATATATTGATCATGCACTAATTTAAATTTTTTGATTTACATAAATATGTTAAAGGGATTAATGAACACAATTAATATATGATTCAGAAAATAGTCTTTCCTTGTAAGGGCCGGCTCTGCCAGGACTATATTTCAAGAATCAAATTAAATTAATATTTATCTTAACAATGAAATGAAAAAACAAAAAATCGAAGGGCTAAACACCAAATTAAGTCGTTAACAATCTTCCCTTATTTAACAAATAAAAAACTGGGTTTCTGTAAAATTAGAAAAACTCAAAGCGAAAATTAAATGAAGATCAATAGTTTCAAAAAAAAAAGAAAAAAAGAAAGGGACAGAAAATCAGAACAATTTCCTTCTAGGATTAGCATTCAATAACAAATCTTGATCCATAACATAGCCAAGTAAAAATGATGGGGACAAAAGAAATGAGTGAACATCATATATACCTTTTGGAGGCGTTCGGTTTCATGCAGTGGTAATCTGTACTCATTCATAATCCAACTTGTTCTTATACCTTTGGGGGCCTTACCCGAGTAGAAAACAAGGGTTTTTTTCAGGCCGATTGACCGTAAATTCTCGCTTTTGATCATTCTATCGGCACCGGTCGCTTTCCAATAACCGGAAGTCGTAACACGGTTTGGCCGATCTCCGTTTCTATACTTCCTATCCCTCGGCACATAAAAGTACCATTCCTTCTCCCCTATAGCTGCCAAAGCTGCAAAAAAGAAACAAAACAAAACAAAACAACAAAAGAAATTAGAATAAGTAGAAATAACATTATCATCATCATCTAAAAAATGAGGTACATATTCTCTCTTAATAGTCCAAATTCATATACACAACATACACAAACAAACAAAAGGAAGAAAAACAAAAATGAAATTCAAGGAAGGACATGTAAATTTATTTCTATATATAAAACTAACTAAAAAAAATTGCTTATTTGAAATAAAGATTTGAAAATCATATGAGGAACCCTAGGTGAAATAATTAAAAGGGCTGATTTTAGAAGTTAAGAAAAATAATTAAGTAGCAACTACACATAAGATATAAAATGATTTATATATTAAAAATAAAAAATAAAAATTAAATAATACCAGGAAGCTCCCAAGGGTCATAGCGGTAAAGGTCTAAAAAAGTGATGAGATCGACATTGAAGCGTTTGCCCTCGACCTTACGTCGAAGGTAGAACTCGACAAGTTCTTCTTCGGTCGGGTGGAATCTGAATCCGGGCATCACCATGTCTTCACAACATTCCGATTGCTCCTTATTATCATCATCATCACGATTATTAATATCCACGTAGACTTGCTTCTTGCTCACGCTGTCTTGATGTTCGTCTTCATTGTTGTTGTTGTTCATGGTTGATGATAATATTGGTGCAATTGCCATAAAGCTATGGAATAAAAAAGAAGGGGCAGGGACCTCAATTATTGACTGGAAGCCAGAATTAATATTTTGAATGTTCTCTCGACTCTTGAGATATAAATATATATATATGTACAATATAAATGGGTTTTTCTTTTGCTTTCTCTCCTCTTCCTTTTTTTTATTTTTTTATTTTTTTATTTTTTTTATTTTATTTTTTTTATCTTTTGTACTTGTATGTAAATGTGTGGGGTGCGCCAGAAATAGTTACTTTTACCATTACTAATGGGTAAATGGAGTGCAAGTAGCGCAGAGATTTCGTTTAGAGCATGGGGTGGGGTGGGGTGGGGTGGGGGATGGGATTGAGTAGGGATAAGAGATCAAGACTTTATTATATAAGAAGAAAAATATAGCACTAAAAAAAATAATAATGTATTCCAAAAAATCCTACGATAATATATTTCTCTTGAAATATATTTCAATGGTATAGCTTTAATTGAATGATTCCAACGAAAATATGAGTTTTCCATTGAAATTTAGATGGAATTTTACTATTCCAATTGCAATTATTCTAACGGTTCTTTACCGTAGAACTTTTCGTTGTAATTTTTATTTTCACTCATATTTCAATAGATGGAAAATGTACAGTTGGAAATCGTCAAAATCCAACAGAAACTCCAATGGAAAACTCATTTAATTAAATATTTTTGTTGGAATTTCCGTCAGAATCTATTTGAATGAGTGTTATATTGTAAAGTGATTTAATGTTTAAAATAAAACCATTATTGTATATTACATTAAACTTAATATTCTCAACAATTATTCCCTCACCATCTAACATTACTCATCATAAGAAATTTAAAAAGCTCCTCATAATTAAGAAAGAAGGGTGTGGACATCTCTTTTTCACTCTAAGAATAAATTATTCTCTCTCTTTTTTTTTATACTATATATTCAATTTATTATACTATGTATGCAAAATATTGGGCGTGATTGGATATGAGCTCAACTAGTTTTTAATTAGTTTTTTTAATTATAGTTAATTTTTTAAAAAATATAATATTATTAGTTGTTAGTGGATATTTAAGTTTAAATTATAATATTATTTAAAATAAAATAATTAAAGTTGATTTGATGTAAAAGTAGGAGAAAAATGATTGGAAGTGATAATTAAAATTATGTGACTGGAAGAATAGTGAATTAATGTGTAAGAATAATTGTTTGATATTATTTAATTATTATTAAAAATAATGAAATTAATTTAAAATTGAATTAAATTTGAGTTTTAATTTATTTTTTTTATTTGAATTGATAAATAATCACCCTTCGTTTTCATTCCAATTGGTAGAGTCATGATTGTACTATGATCACATTCACACCACATTATACCACCACAGATTCGCACTATGCGACTCTAAAATCACAAACTAAGAAAATGTCCAATTGTCCCAGTACCTCACAAAATTTATTGGCCGCCATCATACTTGCTTAAATCGAATGTACATGCTTTAATTTAGAGATGTTTTTTTTTTTTTTTTTAACATTTACTAATATTATTTTAGAAAAAACATGGCATTTCAACTCATAAATCTTAAAACTATGTTTGAATAATAACCGCACATGGCGCATATAAAACACATATATGAAACATGGTAACTTTAATTTTATTTTGCGACTCATACAAACGTGGTCATTCTCTTCCTTTTAACTTAGGGTCTCTCTCTGAATAGATAAAGGGTGATCGATAGGAATAGTGAGGTGGAGTTAATAGAAAGATCCACATAAAATTTGAGGACCTACGAGTCGATATGTGTTGTAATATAAGGCGATAAATAAATATGAGAAAAGGACTTCACCAATTAATTTGTATTAGGACAGCAGCAGGTGGCCAAGTAGTGTCATTTGATGCTTGCGGTGGGTTTGGAGCCTTTCTTTATTTCACCATTCATTGTGTTTTGTATTTCACAACATTGTGGGTTGTTTTGGGTACTGCCAATTATATATGCACATTTCTCTTCAACTTTTCTTTTCTTTGCAACATATGTATATTTATATATAAGTCGGGTTCAAGTGAGAATGATGTTCATTTAAAAAAAATAAGAATAAATTATAGTCATTAGATTGGATGATCTACTGACTAAAAAAAGTCAAAATTATATATTCATTAAGGACAATGCGATATATGTCAACATCCAAACAGTGAGACCCACGCCACCACACACCAACTGCCACCTGACACCTCACATCTCTCTCACACACACACACACACCCCGTCGCACACACACCCCGTCACACACACACACACACAAACACACACACAATCACACACACAATCACACACACAAATTTAATTTCGCCAGACTTCCACAAGGACACCGTCGTTCTGACTCCTGCGGCAACGTGCCTGACCGACGTCCGCAACCGCACCTTCGTCATGTGTTGTCTCGTTGCCTGAAATGTGGAGCTCCAGTTCACCGTCATTTATCTCGCCGTCGCCCTGACTCCCCCTGCCGCTGTGCTTGACGGACGTCTGCAACCGCACATCCGCCATGTGCCGCCTCGCTGCCGGAAGTGGTGACCTTGATAGAGGTGTCTGCAACATATACAATGGTCCTGGAAATTGATTAGGTATTATGGTGTAATTGATTTTTTTATAAAAAAAAAAATTGATAATAATGTTTATTGGACCTATTTACAATTTAACTAGTGTTTATTGTTTTTCAATTAGTTCATGGAAAAATATATAATTTATAACACAATTTTAATAAATGCATATTAATGATAAGTAAAAAATGTACATCACTTAAAATTTAACATGTAATTTGCAGAAATGCATATTAAAAATAAAATGTATTCTTGTAGACTGCACAATAACATGTAATTTGCATTAATGATGTGGATAATGCACATTATCGTAATGCAATGATCTTAGCCACTAGATCTGATCATCCAAAGGTAAAAAAAAAATCAGCATTTCTACATTCAGTTAAGGGTATTATAGACAATTACTCACACACCAACTATCTACCAGTGGGCCCCACTCCCCAATTAATTCATTTGATTACATAGGCCGACTCTCTCTCTCTCTCTCTCTCTCTCTCTCTCTATCAAACACACACACACATATAATGGCCACACACACAGACCCATGCAAATACACACACACAGGAATTATGGGTTTAGGTCTTGAATGTTCCTTTGAATTGGATGAGCACTGAGGTGGGTCTAAAAATAGGCCAGATTTTCAGAAAGGTGAAGAATGTTATTATCTGCAAAGTTGGTGGAGAGGCTGGGAGTTTTCTTAAAGTTCTGGTGGCTATAAACATTAAGGAGCCAATTCCCAGGTGTACTTCAATTAAGCTGGGGAATCAAAAGGTGATGGTAGCATTTAGGTATGAAAAACTTGTCAACCTGTGTTACTATTGTGGGAGGATTAGGCACTTGGATAAGAGCTGTAGTAAGAGATTGGAAGACATTGAGAATAATTGTGTGGTTGATGGACAATTTGGTGAGTGGATTAAGACTAATGAGACTTTTGCAAGGGGTAGAAGCATCCAAACTGATAGCTCAGGAGAAAAAGCTACCCAACACCATAAGAATTCATTTCAGGACTCTTTGGTTTCAGCCAACACTATTCCTAGTCTGAGGCAGCCTGAACAGATTAGAAGTTCTGAGCACACTGAACCCAGTCAGCAACGACCAGAGGATAAATCTAGCCCAAATGCTGTAGTAGAGGAGAAGAAGATGGCTGATTCTGCTAAGGAAGATATTCAAACCTGTGACGCTAGACCTGTTGATGGAGACAAAGGGAATCCAATGGAGATAGAATGGATCAAGGCAAGGAGGATACAAATGTTGTATAGTTGGATAATACGTGAAAGTATAGTCTGAGGAAGAGACCTGGTGCTGGGTGGAAAAGGAGAGTTACATCTGAGAGCAGATTACTGAGTGTTCCTTAATCTCATAGTAAACAGCAACAAGCTGTGTATCTTAAAAGGAGTAGAGCCCTTGTGATCTATGATGGGAGGGTAGAAAAAGATGACGATGCACTCACTGATAAGAGGAAGAAAGGAAATTGTGGAAAACATTTGGTGGAGAAGGCCAACCATAAATGGCCCCAATGTGATCAATGAAGGCTATGGTGTGGAACTGTAGAAGACTGGGTGGGCCCTCTACAGTTTCCCGGATCAAGGATTCTAGAAGAATCCACCAACCAAATGTTATTTTTTTGTCTGAGACTAAAAAGTCTTCTGACTTCACTAAAATTGTTTGTAGAAAACTTGGGTTCCAGAATAGATGGCACTTGGAAAAGCCTGCTGGTATCAGAAGAGGGTTGTTGGTGTTATAGGATATTCAAACTGAGGTGAGACAAATTCTTGGATATGACTTCTTCATTCAAATAAAAGTGAAAGGAGCTGAGATCTCTAATTGGTGCTGGATGATATTTGTTTATATGAGTACTGATAAGAGGGAAAGTGGAAGACAATTGGCATTTCAGAAAGATAGTAAAGTGAAGTGGGGGCAATGTTGGTTGATGGCAGGTGACTGGAATGGTATAGTCAGCAATGAGGAAAAAAGAGAGGGGTGAGAAGGAGTCTTAGCAGTTTTGTGGGGTTTCAGGATTTCATCATGAATATGCAGATGCAAGAAGTGGCTCAGCTGGGATCTTTTTATACTTGGGGTAATAATAGAGCAGATGATGGGTATGTGGGGAAGAGGTTGGACATAATCTTTGTGTCCTTTGAGTGGTTAACTAAATTCCCCAAGATGGAGGCTACAAATTTCTACAGATCAGCTTCTGACCATAATGTGATTATGTTTGATACTGACAGAGAGTTGGATAGAAGGCACAAAAGATTCCAATTTTGTAGTAGCTGGGTGGTCATGGAGGGTTTTCAAGATGCTTTGGGAAAGGATGGCAAGTTTAGGTGGAGGGTCTGCTATGTTTCAGGTCCATCAAAAGGTTAAGAGTACCAGAATAGCTCTTCTAGCTTGGCATAAATCGGTTCACAGGAACAGTGAGAAGGCCATTAATGTCTTCACAGCAAAAATGGAAGAATTGAAGAATGAAGGTAAAGATAGAAACTGGGAGGAGTAGGGAGTGCTGAAAAGTGAGCTGGAT